ATAGAAAAATGTTATTTGGCTAGAACTAAATAGTGCTAATGGAATACAACACAGAGTACTCTCTCTCATCTTTGTCATTACGGTTTAGATCTAGAATTACTTCCAGAACCCTGTGTGTTCGGAGTAGGGCTTTTAACAGGTGAATGGATTATGGGGGTTCTCTACTCATCAGCAGATTGATCCAGGGATGAGTTCAGAGCTGAATGTTCTGTTAAGAGGTGGGGCCTGGTTAGAGGTAGGCTACTAGGGGAGAGGCCTGGAAGGGTATATTTTCCTCCCTGGTCCCTCCCTTCTCTCTTTGCTTCCTGGCTGCCACAGTGTGGGCAGCTTTCCCCCACAGCAAGCCCTTCTACCATGCTGTTATTGCATTTGACACTTCTAACCATGGACTGAAACTTCTGAAACTATGAGCTAAGATAAACCACTCTTACTTTAAATTATGAGTGCCAGGTATTTTGTGTCAGCAACAAGAAAAGTACCAAGATAGAACAAATAGGGAAACCTAAGGTGTCTAAAAACAAACAAACAACAACAACAACAACAAAAAAAAACACCAAATGCTCCTGGCTCTCTCTTTATTCTACCCTATCACAACCACAGACACTTTCTTCTGTTTTCCTTCATTCCTCTTCCTCTTCCTGCTTCTTCCATTTTCTTCATCCAGGGCTGTGGTAACAAACCTATGGCACACATGCTACTTGTTTTTCTCTTAAGACAAAAGATGTTCATATACATAAATACGTATATATTAACTGAAACCTTGGCATTCAGGCTTAATTGCAGTGTTGGCACTTTATAATGAATAAATGAATTTGGGGTTGCATTTTGGCACTTGTCTATAAAAGGTTTGCCATCACTGATCTGGGGCTTACGTTTGTCCGTGAACTACAGCTTTGCAATGATCACTATCAGAGGGAGTCAGTTTTTCCTCCAGCTATACTACTGACAATTGCAGTAGAGCTGGGTTGCCTAACTCTTTGTCGTGGTTCCACACTGCACATGCTATGATATACAGTAGCATCATTGGCATCTGGTCCAGATTCCAAGAAGTGTCTCCAAACATTGCCAAACATTCCTTATAAGGGAGCATGCACACTGGAATGGTTGAATTGGTCTGTGTTCCCTAAGTAACATATGTCTTGAGGTTAAGAAGAGAGATGATTTCTAGGGAGAGAGCAAAGAAAGAATTCTCTCATAGTAGATGTCTCAGGAAGCATTTTTATCAAATAGGAACAATCAATTCTATTATGAATTCCAATTTTTTACTAACTCAAGAATATCCTAAATCTTCACACAATACGTTTTCTTGATATCATATTGGTTACAGATTGTATAAATGCCACTGAGACAGAGGGACCTTTGTATTTTGACATAAGAAGTTGTGTAGGCAGAAATTTTCAGCAGGCTATAAATACTCAACACATTCTTGTTATAACCCACAATGCATTATTAGGCTAACGCCAGGTATCATTTTTGAGTCTCGGTGCTTTGTTAGTAGTTCCCTATGAATATGGAAAAGGAAGAAACTAAAGCAACGAAATGTGTAACTGGCAAGCAACTTCCATGTGGTCCACTGATAAGGTGTCTTGGGTATGTGCATACCTATATAACTGCTGTTTTTCTCTTGAGTTTTCCCTAGTCTTTGAAAACAGTCCACTAAAATCCCAGGTGCAGATTACAGATCTGACAAGAATTTCTCAGGTTTTTAAACTTACTGGTACTTTTCACAGTTAGTTCTTCAAGAATTGTTAATACCATCTCCTACATAAATTATTTAAAAAGCATAAAAGGTATTTTTGTCCCTGCTTCTTATATGTTTTTTCTGCTTGATTCAGCAGCATGTATATTAAATCTGTTTCTTCTACACTGCCTCTAACCTACCCTAAGACAGTTAGATTCTGGCACTAACAGGTTCTACATTAAGAAGCAAAAAATATGGTGTTAAGTTTCTTGCCAGTTAGTCTAGCCATTCTTTATCTAAAAATTAATGGCATGTATTTTTTTTTTTTTACCATGTATTCCCTTCTGCACCTTTAGAAAAACAAATCTAGAAAACATTCCCATCAGGCCAGCTGCTGCTCGGCATGTGAATCAACTATTGCTCCCTGTTTCATCAGGAGCTTTACTCTTCCTGGCAGGATGCTACCTTCTCCTTGGTCTCTATCTTTCCTACTGCTTGTCTTAGTTTCCTTGGCTCTCATTTAATGTTCTCCTGAACCTATGCTCTTTGGGACCCTCCTCTGCATTTATGCCTTCTCTCAAGTCATCGCTCCTAGGCTCCTCCTTCTAAGTGCCATTCGTTTGCTGATGACTCTCATACTTCTATCTCTAGGCTTGGACTTTTCCCTGAGCTTTAATATTCATGTATCCAACTTCCTGTTCACCAGCTCCTTGGATCTAATAGGTGTATCAAAATTAGTGTGGCTGAGAACAGAAGTCTTTCTTCACCACTTCTCTGACTCATCTCTCCTTCAGGATCTCAGTCAAATGTGAACGCTTCCCTTCCCCAGCTTCTTGCCTCCATCTCTCCTTTGTTGTGCTCAGAAAGTTCCTCAACCTGCTGTCACTGAGCTCTGGCCACGCTAATTCTAACGTAATTTCTCTTGTGGTTAAGCTTCCTGTCTAAGGAGCAAATCCTGGGCTTCTTGATCTTTTGACATCTCTCGGTACAGAAAGGTCCTATTTTCAAGAGCTCTACTTCCTCCTCTCATCATTGTGTGGAGGAGGGCGGTGGGAGTGACATTTCTGATACCCATCCTTGGTCACCACTTCAGTTATCCTTCACACTTAGTGCACAAAGCCTTTTAATAGGACATTCACAACCCAGCAGTCTCCTCATGAGCGTTTGACTTGATTGCAAGAAAAAAAATTAAGCAAGATAGTGGTATAATCATAAAAATATCATTAATTCTTCTGCATGTTTATATTACCAAACAATAAATGACACAAATGTTATTATCATATTCTAGAGTCTAACACATCTCCAAATCTCTGTGGGTATTTATTAATATGGCAATAAAAATACAGCAAAAGCATCCATGATTAAAATTCAAACACCAAAACATTATAGCAGAAAGCAAATGAATGCATGAGCGTCATAAAACTAGTTAAGACAAATGTTTAAAATACTATGTGAAGTTGCAAATGTTCAAAATGTACATGGAAAAAAAGAAACCTTTGAAAAAAACAGCTTGATAACTTATAATATCTCATAATTTATAATAACTTATAATGATATCTTATAACTGGAAGTGCCACTTGTTAGATAGCAGTTCCAGCTTTAAAATGCAATTATACCTGCACAGTGGCTCTAGGTAAATATACGAATAATCCAAGGAATGATGCATTCTACCTGAAGAATAAGGTATAAATTTGCCTTTTAGTGGTTGATGAAGAAAACACTCTAGAAGAAGATTTTTTTAAATCAAAATAAAATCACCGTAAGTGACTTCTCATCCTTTCAAAACCATCCAAATTGGGGGCGGGGGAGGATTCTAGAATCGTGGGATATACTCTCTGAGAAGTAAACACACACAAATGTGAGAACACCAAGGCTGTTTCTATCATTCAGCCTCCAGATAAAGGCTATTTTGGATGAGGGTAGAGGGTGTCTATTGGCAGAGGACAAAACTACTTGGATAGCTACATAGACTTGGGCCTTCTTGAAACTGTTGCTGTTGTTACTGTTGTTAAAAAGAAAGATGAACTGTAAATTTTAGGTGTCAGAAATCAGACACCAAAACCCAAAGTGAGGCGCTAAACCAGGACATAAATGTTCACAGATATATACAGTCACTTGCTGTATAATAATCATCAACAAGGAATAACAAATAAGACAGTGGTCCCATAAGATTGTATCTCCTGGTGACATTGACATCATAGCCCTTTTAGTTTGTGTCAGTACACTCTATGATGTTCACACAACAACTAAAGTGCCTAATCATGCATATCTTAGGATACATACTGGTTGTTAAGTGACCTGTGACTATATTGAAATTGCTCCCCCATATGAAGATATAAAATGACCAAGAAACATTTTTTTTGTAGAACTTGTTGGCATGTGACTTTCCCATACGCTTGCTGAAAGGGAAGGACCCAGGGGCCACTCAGAGAAAAGGACTTGCATATGAGAGCTTTATAGAGGTCCTTTGCTCTTTGAGGTGACACTGTGCCCCATGTGCGGATCGTGCCTGAGGAATCTAATGTGTAATAGGCTGGCTGAAGAGGTCTGTCCAGCACAGGAGGGACGGGGAAGCCAGGATTAAACTGCATTCCAAAGTTAGCTTGGGAAAAGGACAACTGCATTGTCTGCAAGATTTGATGTGGATCTGATAAAAGAAAGAGGCTGACTGGGTTTATAAGCCCACACCCGAAAGACCAGGGCCAATCTGATTGCATTTGAGAACTTTTGCTTGCTGACTATGGAAAGCAGAGAATTCTCTTCCTGAATAAGGAGAGAAGACATCTTGGACCAAGAAAACATCTAGTCCAGAGGTGAAACTGACAGAAAAAGAAAACAAAGCGAAAGATCAGCTGAAAAACAGAATGTGAACCATGATTAAATGGTACATGAAATCCACCCTTGATCTGGACTTATTGTGTATGGGACCCTAAACATCATCTTTCTGCTACACTAGCTTGAGTTGAGCTTTTTGATGTTTATCACTGAAAGAACTTCAGTATACAATGCTTTTTCATATGATCTGAGGAAAATCTGTAATCAAATTTGTGCCAGATTAAGATGACCCAAAATGAGGAAAATGCAAAAGAATCAGAAAAACAAAGTTATTTCTCCCAAATCATTTGAAGGGGAATCACAAAATGAAGTTCTTTCAGTAACAAACACCAGAAAACTCCACAACTTTACTAGTTTCTTGGGTTCTTGGAGTAAAGCCCTTCCTAGACGAGATATATGCTCTAAATCAAAATGAGACATAAATGGAAAGATGGGCTTCTCTTGGCTGGAAGGTAAGAAAGAAGGACAGTCAATTATATATTACCTGGTAATGAACTCTCTGGGAACCAGAAGAAACTGACTGTAAGTCCTAATAAAAAAATGAAAAAAAAATCCAAACCTTAAAATTAGTTTTAACAATTTAATCAACGGAACTCCCACTTTAATGTTACTATGCTCATCTCCAGAGCATCTAACCCACCAAATTTACCAAGGTTAAACAAAGAATGTAATACAATAAATAATAAAAGCATATCAAGTTGAACTGCACAGAGACTAGAGATAAGTCAGGTGTTAGAATTTCAAGGACACAGAAAGCCAAGGGCAAAGGGCAGATTATTTTGTAATAATAAATGGGAATCATGTATAATTTGCATCTCTCTCTCTTTTTTTTTTTTTTTTTGGCTTGTAAAGAAGTCTTCTGAAGTCCCTTTAAAACTCTGGGGGACATTTCTTCTTTATTTGTCATGGTAATTGTATTTATACTGATAAATCCTTCACACACCTGGATTTCCATAAACTTCAAAGAGAAAACTGCTGACCTCCTCCATAACATTATCACAATGTGCAAATTAACAGACTTCAAATGAGTAAGGCTTTACCAGCAGATTCTGAAAGCCTGGCTTCTTTCATAAAGTTTCATGACTGAGTTGTCACTGTTGTCATGACCCAGGGCTTCCTTGCTAATCAGTGTAGTGCTCCCATTTACAGATGTCGGCAGTCTGCATACCTCTGTCCTCAGTCTGCTCCCCACGGGGCTTTATCATTTCATCTCTGTGCCCAAGGTGGTTTTAAAACTTATGATTTGTTGAGTTCGCTTTTCCCTTTTTCTCTTTTGGAGAATTTTACTTGTAGCTGATTACTGTCAACTCATTAATCATGTATTTTACTATTTTGAAGTCTTGTTAACAAAGTTGTTTGAGAGTTAAATTTTATAACAAGAAAAGTAAGGCTTGGTTCCAATTATTATTATTTTTTGGGGGGTACTGGAAATCAAACTCAGGTCCTTGCACTTGAGAGCAGGTGGCAGCACCAATGAGCTAAATCTTCAGCCCCTCCTTGGTACCAATTATAAGTCATTTTCTTATTGCAGGTTTCACTGAGTGACATTCCACAATCAAATATGGACATTATTTTGCAAACTGAGATACCATGGATTCTGGGAATATAAATTTAGACATGAATCACAGGCTAAAAATTTCACAAATTTTAACTGGTTTAAGTAGTCACACTTGGTCAAAATAGCTAAATGAAAAAGCAATATAAAATTTGTTGACTCCTGTTCTCTTCCACATCAGTATTTAAAATTTGTCATCTCCCTCTAAATTTCTGCATTTATAATTCCACCTCTAACTTTATCATTCATAAGAGAAAAATTAATATTTTTTATTTTTTCTCATTGAGTTTATTAGTATATTTTAGGTATACAGTAGTTACATTCATCATTAGGATCTTGTACCTTTACATGACAGGTCTTGGTTCTCATTTTTTTCCCTTACTCCTGCCCTCCCTTCACCCCCTGCTCCCTTCCCTATTTACAAATACTTTATTTCCATTTTTTTATTTTCTCATATTTTTTTTCTTTTCCCTTATTTCCTTTCCCCTACCCTTCCCACTTCCCCTACACTTTTAGCCCTTTTCTTCCTATTTTACATTGTCAATTATAACATTAGGATCTTATGTACCACTATGGAAATCAATATGGAGATACCTCAAAGAATTAGGATTAGAGGTTCCATTTGACCCAAGCATCCCTCTGCTGGGTATCTTTCCAAAAGAATTAAAAGAATCATATCACAGAGATATATGCACACCTATGTTTATAGTGGCACAGTTTGTAATAGCTAAAACTTGGAAACAGCTCATTTGTCCATAGTTGGAGACTGGCAAAAGATGTTGTTTTTCTATAAAATGGAATAGTACTCAGCCATAAAAAAATGAGAAATTAGAGTCATTCATAGGAAAATGGATGCATTTTGAGGCCATACTCTGAAGTGAAATGAATAAGTTACACATGTGTAAATACCAAATAATTTCTCTGGTATGAAAATTAATAATTTTACATGACTATATTCCTCCCATATGGATTTATTTCCATCAAGAGAAATAAAATCTAATATCCACAGCTAAGTGGCTGCAGCTTGGAGGGGTTTTAAGTATTACATATATACTTTATTATACTGATTTATATATAATAGGGAAAAGCCACTTATCTAGGGGCATCCATCAGAATCACCCAAATGTTTGAAGATAAAAATGTTCCAACCCCATCTGAGAAAGGTGACTGTCATGAATGTCTTTCATGAAGAAACAATAATAAAGAAATGGCTATTTAGGGTTTTGCTGTTTGTGGAATGACAACAGTAAATTCTCCCCCCCCTCCAAAATATTTCAAAAACAATCAGTGCACATCAGATTCATGGGGATGTAATATATAGGGTCTCTTCCTTTCTTTCCATAGGGCAAGACCAAATTGGATCAGGAAAAAAAAATAAAGAGATTATTCTTTTGTGTTCTGACAAATTTTCATGAAATATAAAAGACTCTCCCACAGGAGGTTCAATTTTAAAAACATCTAGCTGCCTCTGACCTACATCTGTGCCAGACATAAAATTAAGGTAACCTCAAATGTCTGTTTTCTTTCATTATTTATCAATGCTGCTTGAAATTCTGTATAGATAAAAAAAAAAATACAGGTATGTAGCCTGGCAAGACGACAGAGCTGAGCTGTAGTTGTAATCCTTCTTCCATTTTACCCACTGAGGAAGGACAAGCAGAGGTGAGGGAGAAATGCAGTGCATGCATTGAGGATAAGGCAGCCACATTTCCATCTCCTTCCCAACTGTGTCATTCCTGAGATATACACACGGCTAGTAATTGTTCATATAAGTGGAAAGTGGAGAAAAATAAACAATTGGCTAAGTAAACTCACCTCTTGTAGGCGGTCTATGTACATACGGCAAGTCTCCAAATCACAGTCTCCACGGACAACTAGAATACCCAGAGGGATGGCTAAAGGTGAAGGAAAAAAGAAAAATCTAAAATAACATATTTGATTTTTCTAGACATGCAAAAATCTGTTTCTCATGGTTACAAAATAAATATTATCAATATTACAGGATTTGGAGATGTTTCCATACATAAGTTTGAAAACCAGTTCTCCACATCTGCCTTTTGATTTCAGTCTCTTTTTGCTTGCAGTGGTCATGAAGTTTTCTTGCACAATGCATGTTGTCTCCTACTGTCTGTCCTACATCTCATTTTATCTATAAAGTTTAATAGCACACTAACACTGGGTTGGCCAAACCACAAGGCTGCTCACTTCCAGCTGATAATATATGCCTGCATTTGCAATACACCACATGAGGACACAGCCTCAGACAGAAACTAAACACTCATGATTCTGGACACTTAGCCTTTTCCCTGCTAAATGAACAGGGCTTAATCTTCTGTCAGTTTGGAACAATTCCCTATTTATGAGCTATGTAAGGCACTGTTGCTACCTGGTGATGAGTAACCAGAATTAAATGCACAAAATCTGAAGAAAAAGAAGAAGGAGAAGCAGAGGAAGAGAAAGAAAAATAAGAAAAAGGATATGAAGGAGGAGGAGAAGGAAAAGGAGAACTCTAGCGGCATAAAATATAATAGCAAGAATCAATAAAAGAGATTAAATCACAATAAAAGTTTTGCATACCAAAGGGAACAACTAAGAGAATGATAAAATAAGCTACAGAATAGTTGGAAATCTTTGTGAACTTTCAAGAAGCTTTCAACCACTGAAGCTAGACAGTGACCAGAGATTAATTTCCACTCTTTTGTGAGTCTTCATCCAACAGTGAATGAATGCATTGTTTTTTCTTTACCCAGAAAGATTTGGTTTCACAACTCAGTTTTTCCAAACTACCCAATCTCTGGTTAGAGATACATACACTAGTAGTAAATATATAACTATCAAGCAAATAGCAAACACCTAAAGTAGTACAGTGGTTATTCCAGTAGAAGACCGAAGGGAGGCATTCGTTCCATGTCTCACTCTAAGTGACAGATACTTGCATGTCTATTTTACTATCAATTTTTAAACCTATGTATTTTATATACATATTGTGGTGGTTATTTACACATATCAACATGACTGGGCTAAAGGCAGGTGGCACAAAATTATTTCTGGTTGTGAGAGTGTTTCTGGAAGAGGATGCATTAGTGGTCTGTCTAAACATGATCCACCCTTGCTAATGTAGGCAGACAGCATCCAATCCATTGAGAACCTGGACAGAAGAAAAGAAGAGATGGATTTTCTCTCCTTCAGCTGAGACATCCATCTTGTCCTGCTCTCAGGTATCACAGTTCTTGCTTTTCTGGTTGTAGAATCCAGAACTTAGATCAGTGACACCCCTCACCCTAACCCTGCTCTCAAACCCTCAGCCTCATACTGGAATAATCTGCAGGCCTTGGACTTGGCCTGATTGACACTGCAGGCTCCTCAGCTTTCAGATAATGTATGGTGTAAGTTGGGTGAAATTTGGGCTCCATAACACAGGAAGCCATCCCTGTACCAGATCTCCTCTATGTACCTGCATGTTCTGATGGTTCTGTTTCTCCAGTGCACTCTGATTCATACAACATATACCAGGACCTGGGGAGAAGGCAATCATCGGAAAATCCCCAAGTGAATCCCCAAGAAGATGAAGATGTGACAAATTCAGGTACAGAAATAGGAGAGAAATTATACCATTAAGTGGTAATTCTCTATCCCAAAGAATTTATGCTACCAATTACATATTGCCAGTCAACGCGAGTCCTGCCCTGGCTCTTCTCTAAAGCTTCACCTTGATCTCTGTTAACCCCTTTCCCTTATTTCTGTTTGTTTAAATGTCTCATAATCCAGGATGTGATTAATGGATTGAGAAATCCATTATACATTTCACATGAGCATGCTCTGGATTTTATGTTTGAAATAAAATGCCAACAGGTCAGGCTAATTGTGTCTTCTATCCTGGAATGTATGCCTGAATCATTATGCAAATTTACACCAAATAGCACAAAAATTAATGTGAGTCATCTTCAGCAAACTGAAAACCTTCTAATAGCCAACCCACAATTATAGCTTTTTCTTTGGAAGAAATTTTTAGAATATATATGTACTAAAAGAAAACACATCAAAACATGATTTACAAAATATACATTTTACTGAAAAGCTAAGCAGAATCAGGGAACAGACCAAATTTAGGTACCCTATGTGTAGAACCAAATTGCTTAAAACATTAAAAAGCAAAATTGTTAAAGTCTATCATAGTGATATCTATAGTTTTTTATTTGTTTGTTTGTTTTGTTTTTTTGTTGGTGCCGGCATCAAACTGAGGACGTTGCCCTTGCAAGGCAGGCAGCAGAACCACTGAGCTAAATCCCTGGCCCAAGATATTTATAGTTCTAAGAAAATATAAAAGGCCCGGGGTTCAGAGAGGTATTCATTTCCTTATATGTAGAAGCCATACTTCCCCAAAGGAAGAGCCAGTTAGACTTTCTCTGTATGTGTGCCTGGGAACACAAGCTGATCCATACATATAATAGTAAAGATATGTACCCTTGGGTCTGTGTAACATGATATAATGTGACTTACATGAATTCAGGCAAGGGCGGAATAAAGCTGGATAAACAGGAAAATGACAGTAATGATTATATATACAAAGAAGGAAGAGAAGAAAGAATAAGAAACAAGAAAAAGGGGAGGAAGAAAAAACACAATGGGGAGAAGTAGAAAGAAGGACAAGGAGAAGGGGGAAGAGAAGAAAATCACTAATGGGAAAAATGTGCCAGTTTTACTGTTGTTTAATCTTTACCACCTCCTAAGACATAAATGTCATTATTTCTATTTTTAGAATGAGGAAACTGAGTCTCAGAAACATGCTCTGAATCTAGCAACTAATAAACAGAACAAGTAGGTTTCCATTCTACGTTGCTCTTACTCAGAACCCCCATCCTGAACTATCCGATTGCCCATTGACTTGAGCCACACAGAAGGAAAGAGTCCTTATAGCTTTTGACACTGAGCTCGAAACAATGAATGCAGAAATAGGTGACAGGCAAAAGGAGGATGGACTCACAAGTCTCACATGCAGAGCCTCACAAGAGAAAGGCCGTTAACCAGTGGAAAGCAGGGCCAAACTCCAGTGTCCCAAGCCTGACCAAGGAGCAGGAAATGGCACACAGCAACTATGAGTAAGCTGGATATATTTTCATGAATAGATACGACAGGAATGGGATTGATTTCAAAGGCTCACCACTCACTTCCTTCCAATAGGCCAGTATCTAGGCCCTCACAGACCATGAGATAAGCTGTTTGAACTGTAGCATGACTTGCTATGTAACATCTGCTGCAATTTAAGGATCATAGAATTGAAGTGAATGCTCCTCACTTCATAAAGAACTGCACTTCTAAATTGTGAGCAAATGTTAATCATTTTGGGGATGGTAGAAAGGACAAGAGTACATCAAACTTTAATCAAAATTGTGATAGAAAATCACATGAGTTGTTTTGCTAATAAAATACTTACGTTAGAATTTCCAATATTGAACTAAACAGTTGATTGACAATTGATATAAATTAAATAAAAAACAAGTTCAACACTATCCTTTGAGATATGACAAATATATTCTGACAGATGAACAAGATAGTCAATAGGGGTTTTTTTGATGAATGTTTATTAAACCTTAGTTTCCAGTCTACTATTTGACATTATCAATTAGGTAGCATCACCATAATACATACTCTCTTTTCATTTAATATTTAATTATTCTTGATAAATAACTATATCCAGTAAAATCGTAAGTATAAATACTTTTCTATTATCATTTTGATTGCTCAATGAGCAGTGTAGCATGAAGGACATACATGATGAGAGACATCATAGAACCTATCTTTCTGAATTACTTCAGGACTAAGTCAATACCTATACAGTACATACTGTAAATAAATCCATTGTATGGTCACACATCTTAGCCTTATTAAATTCATTAATTTTTCCCTACTAATTTTATTATCAACATGCCCTGAATTTGAATTTGAATTTGAATTATGAATTTCATAAACCCTCATTCCAGCTGACCTTACATGAGATCCTTTACAGAAGATGACATGTTGCATCAAAGCCTCAAAAGCCCAAATCCTAAACTAACACCGGTAAAAGAATCCAATAAACTTGCAAGAACAAGAGGGGGATCACAGATCACAGATGGCTGCTCTGTGACAGCAGCAAAGGCCCTCGGAGCCCAAGCACGAAAGAACTGCTGTTGAAACCAAGCCCAAATGAAATGGATAACGGGGTTTATAAAAAGGAAGAAAACTCCCAGCAGTTAATTCCGTCTCAGCAAGGTACTGTGATGCATTCAACATAGTATCACTAGTGAAAATAAAGGGCTGAGAGCTCAGCATTTAAAAAAGAAAGGAAAGGATTTAATTATCTGACACTTTTGCTATTACAGTGCAATTCCTGTTAAAAGAGAACTGCAGCTAAATGGAGCCATTTGCTCATTCAAAACACAAACAAAACTATCTTCAATAGGATCATTAAAACAAGGCATGATACTTCAAGAAAAGCTTCTCAGAAACTGCAGGGGTGTGCAAAGATTAGGTTTAAGGTCTAAATATACAGATAAAAATACTAGATTTGCAGAAATTTTGTCAAGGCTTAAAAAGTTATCACTTTCTGAACAGAACAATAAATATAATCATAGATAAAATAAGAAAGGACAAAGAATAATATGTAAGGTCAATAATATTGATAATAACCTTAGAATCAATGGTTTTGTGTTAGCACTATACAGATCTACATGTTTTAAAACTTGACATTTCCTTAAGGATCAATTTTAGATTTACTGACTGAGTTTTTGTTACATGCTTGTCATCTTTTTAACAACCTATATGGAATATTAAGTGAATGGTGGCATCATGGTAATGACAATTCCCTAAAAAATAGCATATGTGAAAAACTAGGTAACTTGGGTTTCATCATGAC